AGCTTTCTCAGTACATGGGTACCCTGAACTCAGTACTTTCTCTAGGGTATGGAGTATGGAGTTATCTCTGTGGGTACATCGCACAGTTCCGATCGTTTCCAATCAACGACATTTCATATTTCATGCTTTTTCATCTTAATTGAAATAATTTCTTTCTTTACATATTGATTTGTAGATAAGTATAAAATTTTCCATTTATTTATTTTAAAGCTTTCAACACTACTTCTATAATTATCGATTTCAAAAAAAAAATTTACGATAGAAAATATTTATACAGATTAGAATAAAATTCAAAGCTCAATGAATCATCATAACTCAAATTTACGCATATGCAAATGTCACTGTACATTTTATCATCGCAACAACACGAAACGCAAAGGTACAGTAAGAAACGAAGAGATAGGATATGAAAAAGGAAATGCATGTGATGACGAGTACATGGATGAAAAAAGTCGTCTTCACGACGAAAAAGTCATGCTTCATTGGTTCATGTGAATATATATTTGTGGGAAAAAAATAAATAATGTTGGCAATGACAAATACAGAATAAAATCGATTGCAAGTACACAAAACAAAATTTGCTGCACTTCAATATTACGTAGCACGTAAGCATATTTAGTTTCTGAAATTATTAGACTAATATCGGCGCCAGAAGTCAAGACAGATGGATGTTTTTTGAATAACTTTTGATAGGAACAAGATAGAGACTTGCGATTGTCAGCGTTTTATAGCCAAGACTCAGAGCCATGTTTTTGGAAGAAAAACCTTTCTGGAAAAATTTCTAAGACCGGGTTCAACGAAAATCTTTGGAAAACGACACTCGTTTTCTAAAAGTTGCCATAGGAGTATAGTGATTTTTTTATCTGGGTAGATAGAATGTGGAGTGTGGGTGTGGGTGTGGCACAGTGGGCAACTTTCGTATACCAGATGGATATGCATGTGAAAAGGATTTTTTCGTTAACTATCATAAAGTTGCATAGCCTTTTTGATGCAGTCTTTCTAATAGCAAGCTCAAAGAAGTTTTATATCTTCATTTTTATCGGTTTTTTGGAAAGCTTATGGGTTTTATTGAAGGTTTTCGTGAATTAGAAGCTGCTATAGTCTCAATTATTCATCATGAAGTGAGAATTCTTTGAGCACTCAATATCCAATCACAGTAAACTTAGAGTACAACTTTAATTGTAGATTCAACATGTGCTTTTTTTTAGCTCTTTTTTTAGATTTTTTGAATTTAATCTGTTTTTTAATTTTTTTAGGCTTTTTTAGGTTTTTTCGTATTTTTTTAAATCTTGTTTTTAGCTTTTTCAGAAGTTGTTATTGATTATAAGATAAGTTCATATTCTATTAATTTCTTTTCAATGCTAAAGCAAGAAAAGAGGAAAAGACTTTCAAAATTATATACAATTTGATATTAGAGTGTCAAATGTGTCGATTCATTTCTGGAGAAATAGATTATGTAGTATTTCATCAACTTCATTCTATGGTTGAAATGTAGTCGTTTGTGTCTGTGAATGTATTTGCCGTTTTGCAAATGTATCAGTAATTATTTTTCTTATGAGTGGATCAGAACGAATGAATAGTCGATTGAAAACATCTATTAGATTTACTATATGTTCGCATCTCCTAGATAGAAATTCACGAAAATTACGAACATCTTTGAGAAGATGGTGAATTTGAAAATGTTCCAATAACTGGTAATTCAACGTTTGATTTATCACTTTGTTGTGGTATTGTTTCATTAGAATAATGAAATGTTGTAGGTCGTGAAGTTATAACAATGCGAGTTGGTAATGTAGAAACTGAAGATTCAATTTTTTTCAGGACTTGAAAAGAAGACAATGAGTTTTGCTGATGTAGTAATTGTTGTACAGTTTTAACTGCAGGTGTATTTTGTGGTGAACCATTAACTTGAGGATTGTTGTTGAACGACATGGCCAAGCGTATTTATTGTGGTTTCATTGTTAAAATGAATGGCGAAAATAAGAATTTCTTGTTTCTAAATAAAATATGACTATACATAATCAGTAAAAGCAACGATATTCATTTGGACCTCAAAAAAAATCAAGAGATCCATTTCTCATGTTGATATGCCCTCACAAAAAATATGTGAAAATTGTAACGAAAATGGTGATGCAGCTCTACCACTGGTTGGGCATTGATGTTAATGAGCTACTAGTGCATTCCACTATCGTTATGACAAATGGAGAGGCACATTAAATGTCTTTGATCTCATTGTGAGCATGATATTTATTCGGCTATGCACTACATCCAAATGTGACTACATCCAAATGTAACTATCTAATACATAACATGAGCTTATATAGGAGAGGGATGGGAGAGAAGAGGGGGAAAAGAGAATACAATACCAGAGGAGAAAGGAAAGAGGAATGATATAACAGAACATTGCGCAATCATATCTTTTACATACGAACGACACGTTTATATACGATGAGGTCAAGGAGAGAACAGACATTGAGGAACAGTATAGTATACGATTGAATGGCGTTACACAATGAGAAGCGCATAACGACAGCAAGAGAACAAGGCTAAATCACGAGCGTAAGAGCAACACGATCCATGAACACTGTGCATCGTAGATTGTACGAGAACACACTGAGAAATACATGATATCCCATAAGCTAATATGCCTGTTGGCACAAAAATGTGTGTCGCCACGAGTGTTTTTTTTTGGCGAGACACCTTTCATATGTGATTGGTGAATTAGTGTTAAGTCATCTCGAAAAGATGACTTAACTCTGATTTAACTTTTCTAACAATCTCATTGGTTAATGCAGCATTATTTTGTTCAGTGTGTACAAGGCCTTAGTCAATCAATTAATTTTTTCCCGTTCTTTCATTGTACATTGAAGTACGATCGATGACACTCTTT